CTGAAAGCAGTTTGGACGCAGCTGAGACCATGCACGGGGGCGCGGATACACTTTTCCGGCGAACGCGGTAGCGGCGGCGCACGCATTTTCACAAATTTTCTATAATGGATGGCACAATGCGTCGGAATGGCGCGCCAGTGCTTTTTCCTCCCGCGTCAGGAAAAGCTATTGTGAATAAAATGCATTAACTAGAATCGCTTCCACATGGTTTTTCGTTTACTCGCTGGACCAAAACAGATCACTTCCAACAGTACGAACCGGTAGGAACCGGCAACTGGTGGTTGACGATTGAAAATAGAAATATATTGTAAATAATTTATCGGAAGAAATTACCAAGAGAATATTCATTTCCTTCATTTTGTAACCTAAACGAAATATTTTTGTGTATGCTATAAAATCACACACACAATACTCGTTTATCCGAAATATAAAGTTTGAATGCGTTGAGTATGTAAATATATAAAAAAAATGTTTATGCTTAAAAACTTACAGAATAATCGTAGAAACATAAAAGATGTTATAAAGTTATAATAATCGTACAAATATGTAATGCATATAGAAAAAATATTTCAAAAATAAATTTTTTTTAGTATTATTTTAGATATTAGAATTTGTATAAATCTTACTCATTTTAATATGGCGTTTAATTCTATAAAATATTTTTTTTATAACAATCTATGATATAAAGTTAAGTATATTTAATTTAGTATCATTTCAAGTTGACCAATAAACTGAATATCTTTCTTAAAATAATTTGTCATTCCAAAGAAGTATCGTGAAAAATATATTTGCTAAAAATTATTGAATATTTTAACATCGCTCACTGTTTTAATTAAAAGAAAAGAAAAAAATTTGATCTATCGAAAATCGCTTTCGGCGATCATTACGCGAACAATTGTGACGCGAACACTCGCACTCGTAGGATGACCAATGAGAGGAGAATTCGAGACCGTAGTACAAGAGAAAAACGTGCCATGGACAAGTCTATCCATCTTGCTCGCCTGACAAATCTGGGGAAATGGAGTCTCGAACGCACGAAGCCTCTCATGGGGCTTAATAGCAAAAAAACATACACAGGTTCACTTGTAAACCTGGAAGTCGCGAGATTCCTGAACGATCTGCTCGCGCAATCAACGACCATCGTAGCTCTCGTCGCAAAACGGAGCAACGAGTAACTTTGTGCAAATGAGGATGTTGCAATGTTGAGATTTCCTCTTCTTTTAAACTTCAGCTTGTGTTGCGAATTAACGATATCGATCGTCAAACAATATACCATGATGGCAAACATTTATCATGAAATGTATCGTGCATTAGAATTTATAATATTAATGTGTCTATGATATATTAATCAAATATAATAAATTTTGTGGATAATTATTATATATTTTACTTATTTTTTCTATATGTACATTATATTTATTTATAAGTATTTTTACGA